CCCACAATCTCCTGCGGAGTGCCTGTCTCAGGTGTATGTTTGGGGATAAACAAACACTCTCTTTGTTTCCCAGCAAATGTTTATCAGGCCAAATCAAAGTCTGGACTTGCATAACAATGCTACTAGCCTGAAACAAATCTGCAATTATTATTATGTTTTTATTTATCAGTTAAAGTTTGTTGAAAAGTAGTTTATTTGTTCATCTAATTTATTCAAGTTATTTTAAGTTATACGTTTAAGTCTAAATTTTTTTTGTCTGTTTTATATACATTTATTTTCATTAACTTTTTTGTGTAATCTAGAAGCCCTTTTCTCCAATCCTTTATTTCATTTATTAATTTAATTTTTTTTTAAGTCACAAGAATATACATTTATTTTTTTTTATTATTTTTACATGCCTTCCTCTAAAACAATCACTGATTTTTGTTGTTTTGATTTATTAATTTTATATTTTTTTCACAACAGTCTCTATTGTTATATTTTTTTAACAATTATTTTACATTAATCAAGAAGCCTCTTTCTCAAACACAATCACTGAATCTCTTATTTAAGTTAAAATTTTGATTAAAAGTCTCAATTACATTACATTTTTTATTTTATAAACATTTTATTATTATTTTTAAATTTAATCCAGAAGCCTCTTTCTCTAAAGCAATCGCTGAATGTAATATTAAGATATGTAATTAAAAAAAAGTTATTTTTTATTTTTAAATTTGTCATTTATGCTATTTTTAATCATACATTATTTTAAATATTTTTTTATTAGAAGTTTCTTTCTCTAAAGAAACCACTGAATTTGTTATTTTATTTATTCATTCTCAATAGTTTTTTTTATTATATTAACATTTATTTTTATTTTTGTATTGTTAGTGTAACTGAGAAGCCTCTTTCTTTAAAGCAATTGCTGAATCTAATATTAAGATTTTTGTTAAAAAAGCTATTTATGATAAATTATGCTATTTATTGATTTTTTAAATTATACATTAATTTTATTTTTTTATTATCAGAAGTGCCTTTCTCTAAAGCAAAAACTGAATTTATTTTATTTATTCATTTTATGTTTTATTTATTCTTAATTATTTATTATATTAACATTTGTTTTAATTTAATTCAAAAAATGTTTTATGTGACCGAGAAGCTTCTTTCTCTAAAGCAATTGCTGAATCTCTGTGATGACTGAAAATAACCCTAAACTCATTTGATTAAAAGGTTTGGACCACCATCGTTTCAGATTTATCTCCAGAGTCATCCACTGGGCTATAATTCTCACTGAACCCCTTCATAATTTCCCGATGTATTAAGCAGTTACTGCTAACCTTTGCAAAATGGATCATTTCAATGTTTCAGCTTGATTTACTCCTTTGTGATGCAATGTTTTTCAGTTGTGAAAGGTTAAAAACTTCGCAAATCATGTACAAGGTAACTGCTCATCGGAGACCGGCTCGTCTTAAAAAATTACTCATGTGATAAAGATGGTTGGCAAGGCAAGGTGAGTTATAACAGCATTTATCCTCTGCAAATGTTGCACAAGGCTCACGTAAAATCATTTTAGAAAGAACAGCCTGCGGTTTCTTGGCCCCAGGTACTTTTCGATCTCCAAATAAGATCGAAAGACTTCACCTAACATTTGTAAAACCGTCTCATGAAGAATTACCTGCAGTTAAATAGCCAGCCTTTTCTTCTCCACTCCTGACCTACTTTAAACCCGTCTTTTTCAAGAGCGATTTTTCAGAGCCACAACGCAGGCCAAGCTTTTAATTTCTTTCCTCACGACGGCCCTCAACTCGCAACTGTGACGTCAGCTAGCCTTTTCATTTTAGCCTAGCGCAGCACGGCCTAAATGCACCGACAGCAGCACTCGTATGTGATTTTCCTTCAAATTGCAGACTCCATCAACATAAATGGATGGATAGATGGATGGATGATACATGTTTAGACAAACGGTTGGATGGATGGATGGATGGATGGATGGATGGATGGACAAAATGGTGAATAGATGGATGGCTGGCTGGATGGATGGATAAATGAATGAATGAATGAATGAATGAATGAAAGGACAAAATGGTGAATAGATGGATGGATGATGTATGCATAGACAAACGGGTAGGCAGATGCATAGATGGATAGATGGATGGATGGATGGATGGATGAACAAAAGGTTAGATTAACAGACAGAAGGACAAGGATAAATAGACAAACAGATGGATGGATGGATAAAATGGAAGATAGATAGATAGATAGATAGATAGACAAAAGGACAGATAGATAGATAAATAGACAAAAGGACAGATTGATTGATAGATAGATAGATAGATTTTGCTTGCCCTTTCATCTCTTCTCCTGACCTGCTTTAAACCCATCTTTTTCAAGAGTGATTTTCAAAGGCCCAGCACAGGCCAAGCTTTTAATTTCTTTCCTCACGACGGCCCTCAACTCGCGACTGTGACGTCAGCTAGCCTTTTCATTTTTGCCTAGTGCAGCACGGCCTAAATGCACCGACAGCAGCACTCGTATGTGATTTTCCTTCAAATTGCAGACTCCGTAAACGCTTCAATGGCGAGTTACTAACCTAAAATGACATGCTTTTCTCAAATAGTGTAATTAGATGATTGGGGGGTTTGCATGTGTTGTTTAATGTGTGGCCTATGAGTGTGACAGGACGAAGGGGGATGCTGGGGGGCTGCGGTCGGCTGATGTTGACATGTGGCGCTCCAGTGTAGAGCGCGACCATCTGCCAAAGCCTGTTGGAGCTAGAGCACTCGTGTTGAAGCTCTTATTCACTCCCACGTGTCTTGCTCAACAGCGACCTTAAGCCGGCTGGGATGAGTCGCTCTGGAAGGAATGCAGGTATGGCACCTTCGTCTAGACACCAGGTTCTGCTGAGCCCACATCTGCTGCTTTCCCAGATCTCCTGCAAGGCTTTCATTCCCGGGTCAATCTCCATCCTCCGAGGGCTCACAGACAGGTGTCTTACAGCCAAGCTAAGATTGGGGCCCACTAGCAGGCCTCAGTAAACATACAATGAGGGTGCAAAATGTCTTTAAAATTACTTTAAAAAATGTTAAACTTAATTTTTTCATTTTTAATTTATTTTATATTAATTTATTTTATATTTACATTAACTAAAATGCCAACATGTGCCATATTCCTTACATTGGAACTTTACTAGGGGGCCTCAATATTAAAAAAATTAAGAGTTACACTTTTAACAAATTAAAAAATTATACAAAGTTAACATGTGCAGCATATTTCTTAATTTGAAACTTTACAAGAGTGGCCCAGTGGCTTTAAAGGAACACTCCACTATTTTTGAAAATAGGCTCATTTTCCAACTCCCCTAGAGCTAAACAGTTGAGTTTTACCGTTTTCTAATCCATTCAGACGATCTCCGGGTCTGGCGGTAGCACTTTTGGTCATTTTTGAGCGAGATGCTAACGGTCTAATCAGATTCAATGATCTATGCTAAGCTAAGCTAAAAGTGCTAAGTGCTTAAAAGTGCTAAACCAGTTTTTACTTGTAACGCATTGTAACGCATATTATGTTAATAAAAAAAGTTTGAAAACAATGTTCGTCATTTCCGCAGACATATGAGAAATCACGTGTAGTGGGACCTTGGAATATTGACCTTGGCAGGACAAAGTTTGACCGTAAGTAAATGGTTAGTGCCTGAAAATAGTCCCAGCTAGGTAACTTCCAATAAGCCTATTTTCAGGCGCTGCGTAATATCATTGCGCCTGCTGCACCCATATTTAAAAAATAAATATAAATAAAAATAATGATTCACTTTTAATTATTTAGCTTGTATTTATTTAAAATTACAATTTATTTTAAAATGAATGTATTAATTCATTTTAAATTAAAATAAATTAAAAAGGTGCAGCATATTTTTACTTTACTAGTGGGGCACAAAATGCCTTTAGAATTATATATTAAAATTGTATTTAAACTGATTTATTTATTTATTTATTTATTTTAAATATTTAGCATTAACTTTTATTTTGAATCTTTATTATAAATTATATTGAAATTAATTGAAATATCAACTGGTAAAATTAGTGGAACATGTATGTACACAGTATTTCTTACACCTGAACTTTTGTCTCTTGAAATTTTGTTACTGACAACAATACTGGTTATTTTTAAATTCATTCCTTCATGGATCTTAAATGTTTATTTTATTTAATTAATTCATTTTTAATGTAAATGTTCACTCTTTTTTCACTTATTTATCAGAGTTATCCATGTTCACTTTAAAAGTTGTAAGCTAGTTGATAAATCACCATTTATAGAGCCGAATAAGTAGCATGTTTAAGTTACAAAGAGTGTACTTGTAACGCATTGTAACGCATATTATGTTAATATTTTTTTCAAACTTTTGTTACAAGCAGTAAAGGCGTCTGTATACTGAAATCACGTGTAGTGGGACCTTGGAATATTGACCTTGGCAGGACAAAGTTTGACCGTAAGTAAATGGTTCGCCGTGGCACAGTGTTGGAGTACGGTGTGAACCACAGAGCATGCACAAATTGGATGCTGGAAAAGTCTGTGCTGTTCAAGGACATGCACACGTGCATTAAAATGCAGTTTAAGAATCTGTGCTCATCTTCAAGATAAACTGTTCTGGTGATCTTTGGTACTTTCATGAGACATTCTCAGTCTTGACGTAAGCTTTCATTCCCACTGCATATAGTTTAATTTTCAATCGGAAATGCATATGGGTCATTACGCTTCACTGAAAGATAGCTGATGTGTGCTACACACTCTTGAATCGAGGCATTTGTGTAAAAATACTTTGCGGATCACGTGTTGATTTGCTAACACACCTGGAGCAATTCCAGACCAGGTGTTTGACGTACCGAGACATTCTGTAGCCTAATAGCGTGACAAAAGTCAACAGGATGATAAAACAAGCGCAATGCTATGAATATTTGTAAGTGTATTCTTTGGTCGGTAGCCCATGTGATTAATGTAGACTTTCACTGGAAGAACCAGAACGAGAACAAACAAACGTAACAGTTTCTCGTGGGAATCTTCAACACGGCGGCCGCACGTTTGTTCTCTCAGCCTGTCGTGTAAAACGAGTTGAGAATCGTACTAATATGGTTATTGGTTTGTGCTGAGGGAGTAATATTAGTTTTTTGGCTCAATAAAAATCAGTTTGTTATTTCAGTGATGTAAGGTGAGGTGGTCTCGGTCAGATTTTGTCCCGTTCGTCGTACAGCGTTCCTTTGAAGCACGCAATTTTCTGAGGGAAAATCAAACACGCGCGGAATGTTCCTAACCGTGCCGTGTTATTTTTCGATGTTCTTAGCGAGAGCTCATGTGTAGATCAAACTTCGAGTTAATTCTCAGCTTCAGATCGTAGCAGAATTTGAAAATACAAACAAAATGTATTGGAGCCCCCTCTTACCGACTGTTATATTCCTGGTAGCAGGTCAAATGCCCACCGAGAGCCACTGGACGTTGAGGGCTTTGTGTTGTTGCTGTAACTGAAAAGCTAATGGGTCTCCAACATACAGGTGCAAGATGTGTCCATCTTTAATATCCATTTATTTTTGGCAGCCTTGCACCCCATTGGCCTGGTTTCTACTTGACAGGCAAAAAAAAAAAAAAA